CGAGAGCGGTGTTCGGCCATTCCTATCGCGCATATCCGGCTTGAGATCTTCCACTCCAAACAGTAGCTTCACTACTGCATCATGCCCTTTCTGGGCAGCCATCGAAAGTAATGTCTGGCCATCTCCGTCGCACATGTTGGGGTTGATATCTGTCCTTCCCAACAGTAGCCCCACCACTCCCTCATATCCGCTTTCAACAGCCGACAAGAGTAGTTCTTGAGCATTTTTCTCCGGTATATCGATGCTGACATCTCTGCGTTCCACCAGTAGTTTTACTACCCCCTCATGGCCTCTGCTACAGGCCCAAAAAAGAGCGGTATGGCCGTATCCGTCCGTCACGTCGGGTTTGACATCCTTCCTTCCCAGCAGCGCCTTTATCACCCCTTCATGCCCTTCTTCAGCAGCCAGCAAGATTGGCGTTTGACCGTATTTGTCTGGCTTGTTGGGGCTGACATATCTTCTCCCGAGGACCATGTTCACAATTCGAGGAGTCTTGCCCCACCAGCCTTCTGTCACATCAGGTTTGGCAGACCCCAGGCCAAGAAATAGTCTGGCAATACCCTCATGCCCCTTGAAGACAGCCCATGAGAGCGGGGTTCGACGAAACCAATTATCCGGCTTGTCAGGGATGGTAGCCGGATGCTCTAATAGCAGCTTCACTACCCGCTCTTGTCCACATATAGTCGCCCATATGAGCGGAGTAATTCCCAGAAAATCTCTTTTGTTGATATCGCAATTTGGCCGGCCCACGAGAGCGATTGCGATATCAACAATGCCGAAAACCGATGCACAATGCAGTCCAGTAAATCCGACCAGGTGACCGCTGACAGGAATATCACCACCGTACCGACCAGTCCTCGATATGAGATAGGCCAAAAGTAATTTAGTAGATATATGGCTTTCAATTTGACTGAAAAGCCTGAGCGCGAGTGATACCACGTCCCTTGAAGTCTCTCTCCTAGCGTGGAACCCCCAATATAGAGAAGAATAATCGAGGAAGGCGGCTGACTGAGGGAAGGCAAAGCGTGTGGGCGATATCTCCTGAACAGTCCGAAAGTTGAGATACGTGAGGCAGGTTTCGGCCATTATCGAGTGAGTTGCACCGAAAAGGTCGGGGCAAGTGTAAAGGTATTCCTGGAGGGTGAAGTGGATCAAGCGAACAGTCAAAGCCTCTCTATCGACGATGACAAGCCCTAGGCAACTGCTCAACAATGTCTCCACCGAAGGAATTCTTTCGAGATTGAGATCCGTAGATCCCATCTCCACAGCCAGGGCGTGGAAAAGCTCATTGAGTTGTAATAGCCGCTCCGAATGCGAGATCCACATCAATGCTGCCATCCCAAGCCTTTTTTTCTCCCCACCCTGCTCCTTTATGCGCTCTAGAGTTGAACCATAAACACCCTTCAAATCCAATCCATCCGTCACTGCTCTGAGCTTTTGCCGTCTACCATAGGCAGTGGTTTCTCCAAGGATAGCATCCATCGTTAAGGAAATCAGTAAAAATCTAGTTTCGTCCGTTAGTGACAAATGTAAATATACTCGTAGTCTTCTGTCATGTTGCTCACTTACGTCTCGGGAATATCCTTGGCAATGGTTTTGATGATTTCAGCCTCCAAGCCATCGTCCACCGCGTCAAGAGATGTATCCTTACTCAATCTCATCCTGATATATTCTACCATATCATCATTCCTAGGTTTTAAGACTAAAATCGCTACTCTCCCGCCAAGATGCCTCTCAATCTCTCCACGGATGTGTTGTCTCCCGGTAAGGAACATTCTTGTGTTTGGCGACTCGTCGAGAATCTTTCCCAACGAGGCAAAAACTTCAGGACGATGTCCTTCCACACATTCGTCCAGTGCATCAACGCATATAAATGTCTGCTGCAAAGATGTGACAGCCTGCAGCATCTTCACAATTTCCGGCACCCGTAGTCCCCTTCCACCAATGACTTTTTTGTGCCCTTGAAAAGTCCGACTTATCTCCTCCGGAACCCTTTCCAATCCACCGACAATCTGTTTCAGCAGTGAGCCGAGCACGTTTGCTGGAGACTGCTCCTGTCGTGCTGCGAAATCAACATAGAAACACGCGACCGCCAGATCCTGATCTTTGGCCTTATCGCATAATCTGTCTACCACTAGCGAACTGGTATCGCTGTTAATTAGCACCACCATCCCTGAGCTTTTTTTCCAGGATAGTCGCCCTTACCTGAAATACATCTTGCCGACTGCCGGATCACCGGAGCAAAATAAAGCTGCACGCTCGGGTCCATCCCCTTGAGCGCCATCGCACCACGTTCGAAATTCGTCCGTTTCCAGCAGCCATTCCCCCACCTTGTCGGCCCGGCGGGTTCTAATGTCTTGATGTCGGATGCGGGGCTCAATCGGGGATAGCCATGTCAGAATCTCCAACTTCTCGTCCGTCACGCCAATGTTGTTCACGTTCCACACAAAATTAGTATTATTCAAAGAATGGGTATTATGGGAGTAGTAGGTATTGGAGGAAGTGGTAGCGTCATCGATGCGAGAGCGCGACATTTTCCCGCTAGTTATGATATCGAGGGGGAACTTTTGAGTTGCCGGACTCCGTTGATGGAGATCGAAGGAGCTGATGGAAAGAGGGGGCATCATGAAATCGGCGCCTTGTGGGTGAACACTTGAGCTTTGTGTAACTTTGACTTTGCGCCTGATAGGCGCCATGGATATCCACTAGTCTACGATATCCAGAACCAAGACCCAGTGCTGTTTCTTGCACCCAGCACGCAGACGGTACTGTACTCGTACTGATATCATACCAGAATTATTGAACCATCCCAATTAATAGCGACGATCACTTCTCCGCCAAAAACTTCTTGCCTGAGAACACCGCTCAAATACCATGGAAAACATGGGGGTACCTTTACAAGTATACCGGTACTACCATCCTTGGCAAAAACATACCATGGCAAGGTTTCACATTATAATACAACGAACAACAGATTATTTACTCTAGCACTCACCCCATCTTGCCCACATAACCACCGCACCCTACCCGTAACTTACCGCAAGTACAGTACCGGTATTGGTATCGTAGTTCATTTCACTCACCATCCCGGTAACCGCGCCGAGTTTATCTCCTGGAACCTCTCGGGTGATACTACCGATAGAGGTATACACCGCCGCGTGAGCAAGGCGCGGGAAATACGAGTGATCATGCATGACCAGCAAAATGGTCGAGCTGACGCGAGTTTCATCCACACAACCTTCGAGGCTGCAAGTACTGCCGGTAATTTATCCCACAGTAAAATACAACCCAAACCGCCTCAGCCAATACAAATCACAAACCCAAATTCTGGAGGAATTATAAACTACAAGTTATGATACCGTATCGTCCATGGGGAATGTTGCTCAAGAGACATCGATGGTGCTATGGCCCTTTAGCCGGGCGCTAGTTTTGGTGTATTTTACTGCCTCCCGTTCGGTGTTTGCTGGTTTACCGAAAGCGCTGAGCAAGGTGATGCCGGTGGCTCGACTTGAGCAGTCGGTACGGTACCGGTAGTCGGCGGTAGATGGATAGGGCGAGGCGAAGTATCGCTCTGGTGTTGTTTAAAAAAGGGTTTTGTTGTATGAGGAGCACGGTTCGATGGCAGGATCGGATTTCGGAAAGTTTAGGCTCGTGTGGGGAAGTTGTGGGGGCACTGAGACCATACTATACCTTATGGCGCTCGCTGTGACTCAAAGAAATAACTGCGGGTTGAATCAAAAGAATAAAGAACCCACACTTGACCCCTAATCTCTCTGACTGTAAGCTAGGCCCCTCGCAATCACTCTTCGAGAAGGGCTCTACAAAGGTTTTCAGGAAATACCGGTACAATTACAGTAGAATGACCTCGGATACCGGTACCGTGTCCCAAACTTCAATCCCGAATCTCACAAGTCCACCAAAGGACGCCGCCCCAAATCAAACGCTATCATATCATACCGGTCTTCCACCACCGAGGCCATCCAAGAGCCAAGACAAAGCAACGAAAAGATCCCGATAGCAAGCAAATCTATCTCCTTCTGACGGGACCATAGACTAACCGCAAACTTCAGCCACCATCCGATAAACAGCGGCGCTTCTCACTCTGTAGAATAAATTTACAATACCAGTACCGGTGCAGTACTCGCATCGCCCGATAAACAGCTCCACGTTTTCCGAATGCCACGGCCTATAAGTACCAAGTACTCTACAGTACACTTCCAGCGATCCACAAATGGGCCAAGGAGTGGCATATCACATATCAGCGTTTTGTGCGTGAGGCCGAAGTTAAGCCGCCAACACTCTGGATACCGGTATCATATCATACTGGTACGGTATGTATCCAGCCCTATAGGGCGGGACACGCGACAGGAATTGCGCCACAGTGCACTTTCCCCCACTGCCACATACGGTAGGTTACCGGTAGCATTCATCCCCTTGTGAGATACTTTCGCAGTTCCTATCCCCCCTCCATCGTAGCGAAAAACCGGGCAGCGGCTTAGTCTATTGAATATTTATTCCCCCAAATCCTTTGCGTATCAGTCAGCAGCTCCATTTGATACCGACCGCCAGTAAATTAAGAGCTGCGCGGAACTGCCTCCTGATGGAGAAACAAGCGTTCCGGCGCGTCACACGGCCTTACTCACCAATGCAGCTTGCAGGGTTGACCCCCCACCATGCTTACACGAGGCTGTGGGTGCCAGTAAGAGTGGACATTACCCTACTCTGCTAGGCTAAGCCTCAGATCAAGCTGAGGATTCAAACCACCCATCTCGATCCGCAAATCTCCTCCTCAGCTCGGGGTTAGGTGCTGTGCAAAAATAGCCACTTAGCGAAAGGGAGTAGCAGATCGGCGAATGCTCGCACTCAGAACAAGTCAGCATAGCGCCACCACAAACTGGTCTGGTAGGAAAATGGGGAATGACGTGGGATTTGGACTGGGAGAATATAAGCAATCAAGTTCCCAGAGTTCATCCATCCGTTAGACTAGTGAAGCCTTAGGACTCCACACCGACCTACCGTACCTCAGGGACTCCGCAGTGAAATACCAGATCGTCAATCGTCCAAAGGACAAACCCTCGATACCGAAGCAAAACTCCCAACCACAAACAAGCAAGGATGGATCCCATGGGTGGTTTAAGGGATATCAACTCCCTAGCCGACACCCCCAGAAGGCCATTAAGTTCTGCTTTTAGTGAGAATGAGGAAGATATGGCGGATGTTGATTTCGGAACTCGTTCCGATGCAGCCCTATTAGAGGGTGGGTCGGTCCCGATACTTGAAGTCTCCAGAGTTCCAAAAGCTGACTCTTATCACACCACAGAAGGGGATTACACATCTGATGAGGACGGCGTACCAAGGCAGGGTCGAAGGACAGGGCATGCGAGAACTTCCTCTACAATCTACGACAGAACAGCATCAACCAAAATCAATGCGATACCGATCCGAGATCTAAAACAACAACCCGAAAGCAAGATTCGGACCATCATCAGGAATTTCAGGAAAAATCCCGAGAAGCCCCTCTCCCGAGCCCGCGTAGTCTTCCGCGCCTTTTCCCTGATCGCTTCGGGAACGGTTCTGGGAGCGACAGCGCACATGCTCTGGCATTACCTCGACACAAAATACGATTTACATAACGGAAAATTGATCTGGCCAGCGGACCTCACCATCATGCCCACAGCGCTCATGTTGTCTATAGCAGTTTACACATTCTTGACCGACTTGGGTTTTCTCATCGGGAGTGCCTGGAAAAACGTAACAACTCCCAAACCAAATCCCAGACCCCTCCACCCCCGCACGAAACTAACGAACAATAGTTTCGGTACTTGAAAAACAAAACCGCCGCCACCATAGTTGCCCTGAATTCGTTGACCAGCTGTATCGGCTGGATCCTCTCAATATTGTTCTCCCATCAACAACGAGATAGACCAACCCTGTGGGTTTTCAACCCCCCCACCCCAAAATAATCGACCCCACTAACAATTTCTCCACAGGCTCTGGGTCTGTTCCGTGAAAGGCAATCCCAAATCGGCCCAAGATTCGGAGGGTTCCCCTATGGACTTTGCTCTCCATTGCAGTGAATTGGTACGTTTCCTTCTAATTTCACTGGATCCAACTTTCTGACTAGTCTCGACAGAATTTCACATGGATAGCTGCCTGTATTGTTGCCAGCGCGCAAGGGCTCGTAGTATTCACCATCATCTTCAGCTGTTGCGGCGGCCGCCCCAAGAAGCCAAAGTTTAAGGCACCGAAAGATGTCCTCCCCGTAGGACGTTGGTCTTCATTCGTTGATGGAACCACCGAATGGGTGAATGAAAAGATCAAGTTATTAAAAAGGTGAAAGCGACAACTGGAACCGGATCAATTTCAATGCCAAATAATGTATTATTAGAAAAGGAGTTTTAGTGGGTAACATTTTCTTATACCGGGAGCAATCGACATTGGTAAATTTAACGGGGGGGAGAGAGAGAAGGCTACGATAAGAGTGGAGGAGGAGAAAGCTGATGTTTATGCTCTCATAGACCCGTGTCATACCCCCGTCCCCCATTCCACACGGTTGCCAGAATTCTCCGGCACGAATATTACACAAACATTTTCCCAGGCAAGTATCAACGATCAAAATGTTCCAATTGTCCCACTATCACAGCACACTATGATACTGTACCTCATACACTTCATAGGCCCAGTTCCCCGTTACCCTTACCCTTATTGCCCGGGCAAGGGTATTACGCGATTAGGAGAAACCCCCACGTAGCCCCTCTCACGTCAACCCGGCACCACAAACATCCAACCATGACCCGCCATTTCAAGAATCTCCGGCTCCACTACACCCTCCACACACAAATAAAATCCAGCACTAAAAGCCTCCTACCTATCACCTACACAAAAACTAACACTCTGCTGGAGCCTGAGGAATTTTCGAAAGAATATACCTCCTCCCGGGCTCCATCGCAGCATACCACTCCTTTACCGGGCCAACCGGGAACTCTTCATATTCATTGCCCTCCATAAGCATAGCCCATGTCTCTTCGATAAAATCACCAATCGGCATGCCGATCTGTCTTCCGTCTTTGATGTCTATTCATCGTTTAGCCCTCCGTATTGAAATCAGCGACAAACGCAAATTAAAGAAATGGGGGAGGGGGCTGGAATAGCAAACCTGGTTGAACCTCCTCATCGTGCAGCTCCGTCTGCACTGAAGGTGGCATAATCTCCAGCACGTGCACCCCGGTACCCTTTAGATGCAAGCGGAGACTAATAATGAACTGGTGCAGAGCAGCTTTTGTAGCACAGTAATTCAGACACCGGGGTAGCGGGACCAGGGCCAGGCCAGAGGAAATGTACATGAGAGAAGCAGACTGCTTCTTCAACAGGAACGGTAAGAACGCGTGTGTGAGATATACGTGCGAGGTGTAATTCGTCGCGAGCTCATTCTGCAGCAGTGACATGGAAACAGTAGATGGCTTCGAGAAATTGAACCCCCGCTGGATACCAGAATTCAGAAGCACGCAGTCCAGGTCGGGATGTTCTTTCGTAACTCTGAAAACCAAAAAAAAAGGTCAGCAGGGCAAGACACCCTCTCCCCCAAAGGAGGTTTGTAGAAAAAGAGAGGGGGGGGATACATCTCCACCCAAGAGCCTATCTCCTCCAACTTTGTCACGTCAAAAACATAATACCCCATCATCTCCTTCCCGTACTTTCCCACATACTTCTCCACAAACTCCTCCAAGCGATCCTTCCTCCGACCCACGAGAACCACTTTCCGTCCCTCGGCAAGGAACTTCTCGCTAAGGCCGTATCCGATTCCGCTGGTCGCACCGACCACGAGAATGCTTTTGTAAGCGAAATTCATTTTGGAGTGTTGTTTGTTGTTGTTCGCGGCGACAAGGCTGCTGCTGGCTTAAGGGGTGGATTCATCGTGGGATTTTGTACTCGAGTACCCGAGGAGTCCTCTCAAGTAGACGTACCACACAAGTACTCGTACTAAGTAGACTAGAAAAACTATTCACACTACCACAGTGTCTGTCTGTTCTGTCGAAGTGGACTATGGGGTCATTGTGACATCAGCACCGGTATCGTTGTGATGGAAATGGCTCGGCGGGTATTAAGGTGCGGCTCTTAATAGTGGGGTAACCCTTTGTTCCGAGGAGGATACTTTTGGATTTTTGGCTTGGCAGGCATGGATTCTCACGCGAATATGATGAGTTAGGATTGTATTGGTAATGTTCTTTGAATTGGGAAAATATCACTCTTTTATCTAAACTCCCCTCTACCCCGCCCCTGCTCATGCAATACCAAGACCCCGAAGCAGATATCCCGCCAATGCAAGAGAATGCAGGTATTCCACCAGAACCATACAACCACCAAAGTTAAGAACCATTCACAACTTCGGTGTTCCACCGACCTCACCGCCCAAAACTCCCCAGAGAGCAAGAAGAAAAAGAAAAAGAAAGAAAGGAAAAAAAACCACCTCACCCAGATTCTCAAACTTCATTCGGATTAGCCCGACCAACCGCCACCACAACTTCCCCATCCACCGCCTCTCTCTCAATCCCTTCCCTCCACCTCTCAATCTCCGCTACCTTCTTCTCACTCAGGCACACCCTCCCCCCTCCCTCCCCTTCACCTTTCTCTTTCTCCTTCCCTTTACTTTTACCTTCTCCCTCCACGGGACCAGCTTCAGGTGCTAGACCCCAACACTCATCGCAAACCTCGTAAGAGAGCAAAATCCTCTTGACCCTGCTCGGCGGGGCGTGCGTTCCCAGATGGCACATTCGCGAAGTTTCCTGCGTGAGGTAGGATGTGTGGCCGCAGTCATTGTGGATGGCTACTAAGATGCACATTTCTTCTTTCTTGCTTGAGTTTGGTGGGGTGGTTGTTTTTGGGGGGTGTTGGTGTTTGGATGAGGAGGAATGGGGTTGATACGTTGTGGAGGGTCCATTATTTAGCTGACGGGAGGGGATTTCATGGGGGGATTGGAGAGGCGAGATTGAAGATGGATAACATGATTAATAGGAGACCCTTTTTTTCAATTGGACTGTGGAGTGGGCGGCGGTCGATTCATGAGGTGTCGTTCGATGATGATATTGTTTCTCTTGAATCCTGAAAATGGGTCAGTGATTGCATGGGCCTTCAAGATGAGAGGTTGGGGTGTCCTCAGATCTGGGTACGGTATCGTGGTGGGGGGAATGGCGACTTGGCCTGGTTGAAAGTGTTCGCAGCTTGAAAAACGCTCTTTCTCAGAAACTAGACAAAGAGCAAGAATCATGTTTGTCGGGAAGACAAGGTATTCAAGGACAGGTAACGCAGCAAAAAAACATTTTCCAGCATTTCGTCGCCAAGGACCAAGTCCTCCAAGGGAAGCAATAACAGAGCAGATTAAATTTGGCTTATTAGATAATGAACCACTCCCGAGAAACAGAATCTCTCGTGAATTAATCCCGGTGTTTTTTTCTTTTCCGAATGTTTAAAACTTGATAGTTATGACCCACCCAAGCAGTCCATTCATGCCAAGTTAATTCACCTCCATTGTAAAAACCCATATATATACCAACTACATACACCATCACTCGTCCTGCCACAATCATTACTTTTCCAAGTATCATAATATATTATGATAAATACAGCACGACAACCATCTCCCACAACCCCAGTCAACCACTTATCATCATTGACCCGTAGCGGCTACCACGCAAAGCAATTCCTGGTGACCGAGAAAAACCCAGCAGAAGCCACAACAATACCTTTCAGTCCAATGCACCGCTCTCTATAAAGGTCCCAATATTCACACAAGAGTACGACATCAAACCCCGACATGAGAACTACCATATTTACTTATTAATATTACGAACGCTCTCAGAGTGACGACATATCCAAGGGGAAAATACCAACCAACTTCTCGCAAGTCGGGACATTTCGCAATCTCCTTTCACTTGCAGAACGGGGTTTTTTTTTTTTCATGACTTGGAATCTGACACGATCATATCGTACCGCTACTACTGCTAAGTTGTTTTCGTTGTGCGCGGGTTGGTAGCATGGCTTTGGGCGAGGATATCAAAGATACTAACTACTCCACGATTTGCCTGATATCGGACAAAAAGACAATGGCAATACCAGGAACATAAAGGCACCCCTCGATCGGGACCGACACTTAATAAACCTTTTCCATTCTGTCGCACTACTTTCAGGGCAAATCCAGCAATGTATGTAAGTAGTTCCCACCGACGACGACCAGTCCAAAGAACTTTTTTTCTTTTTCTTTTCTTTTCTTTCCCAGACTGTATAGAATATTGCAATCAGTTTACTTGATTTCTCGGCAGACCCGAAGATGGTCAAGGCGTAAGCAGCGGGTGAGGACCACTACTCTTATACATATAATTACGTATTTTTTTTAAAAAAAGTATCATTCTTTAGTCAAGTCGTTCGGATAGCAGCCAAAGTGGCAGATCAGTAGAGAGTTTCTGGCAAAACAAGCGTTACTATAACTAATTTCGCAGTTGGTAATCATACATCATTTCCCTATCATGGGATGGGGGGGGGAAACCATTTATGATACTCCCTCGCAGAAGCTTTTTATGATCAAGAGTTGCATGAGTGATTCCGTATGACGGACAGCACGGGGGGGGATTCAATCCGAAACCTTAGTTCAAACAGAGCCATGCTATAGCCCGGAAGGAACACCATATCCCTCCACTCAATGGCCAGCGCAAGATATGCAGAATCGGCAAGAAAAATTACGACCGACAACGACATCTGACTCGAGCCCTGCCAACAGCCCCCATGAGATCCCAAGGTCTGGCCAGGCAATTCTTGGGGACTTAAATTCACATATATACTAGTTACTCTAGTCCGGTAATTGTGCTTACGCACCTCTACGATCAATCACTAATTCTGTAACGCGCCGGTTTCATTCCTCAGCATGGTACATCAACAAGGTCTACTACTATTCTACCTACTCCGGCCCTCCAGTCTCCCCCCAAACCGGACCTCGCTCTCCACAGTTTCCAACAGCGAGGAAAAGCAGTGGTGCCCATTCCACGATCGGCGGTAAAAGGTGACTGGTGTCTCTCTCTCCCTCTTTGCTGGTCCAGTGACGGCGGCAGGTTTTCTTTCACCTACCAACACGCCATGAGACGATGGAAGAGTCTACAGTTATCCATCAGGGGGCCCCGAAGTAGGAGGAGAACAACAGCGGTCTCTCGATTCGGGCTGGGGAGATGATTGTCGGAGAGTTGCCAGGTCGGCCGAGGATCATGAGGAGACGATTTCGAATTCCCACTCCTCGAGTCAGTTTCCCGACACTAACGCAGCTTGATCCTCCCCCCAAGAGTTAATTTAATTGGCACCGGGAACTATCGTGATGGCTACCCCATGTGGAAGGCAAGGGATAAACACCATAACCACCATTTTTATTTTTTTAAGGCATGGGAAAGAGAATCGCTCAATGACCTTTGTGGGGAGGATGCCACGTGGGTGCTTAAAAAAGAAGTTTTGGACATGATTGGCAGGACCCAAGCCCAGCTGAATCAAGGATTTAACTTACAGTTGACATTCTACTTGAGAACCCCTAGTGAAAACAGGGGACTTCACATCCTCCACTCGTACGAATATCACGCTACTTTGGCACTCCGTAAGCTCTCCCCGATCCCCATTTATGACGTATAGTCTGAAGCTATTCAGAAGTCTCTAAGT